CTAGCTACATGGACAAAAAGATTGAGGACCTCCCCCGACCTAGAGTTTCTAAGAATACAAGGTGCAGCAGCCAGAGACTCGATGCACCCTTCATTGTGTCAACTACTTTCTTATGCTTAAAATAAAGTTGGTGCCCGAGGGAGCCAGGGCAGGGGCAATGGCAATAAGTGTTATTTTCAGAGATTACATGGCAAAATCCTTGGATTTCTAGTAGAGTGGATTGAAATCAATTAGCTTTTCGGCAAAGCTTCTGGCAGCTAGACATGGTCCTGACAACGTGGATTCTATGCAATGGTCATTTATTTCGATAGAATTTGGCTCATGTGGTTAATGCTCCACTTAAGCTATGAAACTCCTGCACCCATTTTCAGGTGTTCTAGATTTTCCAAAACGCATATATTGTGGGTACTCATGTGGTCTTTCCACATGGATGAGTTTTATCTTACGTGAGGTTTTAAGAGGCTCTTCATTAATAACGTAATGAATGCTTTTCTCATTTTTTTTTTTTTTATTTCTATAGGCGATGCAGAACTTGTTTACGAAAAAAAAAAATGTTAGAGCCACGCAATACCTTTTTATAACCTTTAAAAATGAAGGAAAAAAGAAGAAAGAAAAAGAAAAAGAAAAAAGCCGCATAGCTAGTGCATAACTATATTTTACAATCACCAGACTGCCCATGCAACATGTAACTGGCCTGCCCACTTAAGAAATCACCACGCCTACCGCCAATCTAGGTGACTAGGCCAACATCTAGGACACTGAGGATGATATTCTATTGTCATTTATTCTTTAATGATATCGTACCTGCATCTTCTGATATGTCTGAGGTCCATAGTGTGAGATTATCTCTTAGAAGCTGCATTATCAAGGTGCTATCTTTATATGAATCCTCATTCAATGTATCAAGCTCAGAGATGGCTTCATCAAAAGCTTGCTTAGCAAGGTGGCATGCCCTGAAAACACAATTAAATAGCTAAAAGATTCCGAAAAGTTAAATAATAATTATTAGTATTATTTAATTATTAAAGAGGAAAAAAGGATGGACCTTTCTGGTGAATTCAAAATCTCATAGTAGAAGACCGAAAAATTCAAAGCCAGCCCCAAGCGAATGGGATGTGTTGGAGGCAGCTCAGCCTCAGCAGTCGTAGTAGCCGTCTGAATGCAAGTCCAAAA